TTTAACTTTCTGGCAATGCAGAAACATGATTGGCAAACGATGGGGCTTAACGCCAAAAATTATACTGTGGCTGTACAAAATTGTAATTCGGCTCATGATCACATACGGCTCTCTGGTATGGTGGACCAAAACCAATGAAGCCACCACTATACAAAAGCTTCAGCGTTACCAGAGATTAGCTTGTATGGCTGCCACGGGCTGCATAAGGACTACACCAACAGCAGCTTTGGAGGCTATGCTGGAGCTAACACCGCTTCATCTACATATACAACAAGAAGCAACTTTAGCTGCCATTAGACTCAAGACCCTAAATCTTTTAAGTAAGAGTAGAGTCCCCCATACAAATATAATCGATAGAATTTACTCAAAAATTCCTATCTTACTAATTTGTATTCAATGAGAAGTACAAGATACAATTGAAGGAAACTGACCTTTAAGGAAGGATTGGGTCCAAGAGAGCTCAAAGTTTTCACGGATGGCTCTAAGACAAATGAAGGTGTGGGGTCTGGGGCTTTCTCTGAAGACCTTAATATCCACATATGGACACCGCTGGGTACCCACAACACAGTCTTCCAGGCTGAATGCATGGGTATCATCCAAGCGGCCATAGCAATAGATGCTAGGAAGGTGAAAGACTTCTCCATCAGAATACTGACCGACAGTATGGCGGTACTACAAGCTCTAAGTTGCAATGTGACGAACTCGGGACTGATATAAGAGTGCCATCAACGATTGAATGAGGTATGTAAGCACACAATGTGACTCTGCAATGGATCAAGGGACACAGTGGATCTAGAGGCAACGATGCAGAAGATGAACTGGCCAGAAGGGGATCGGCCCTAGCAACTATAAGGCCGGAACCAATAATACCAATCCCCTTTGGCTATGTTCGTTCACTGGTACGTAGATACTTCAATAATTTACACGCTCAACTTAGGAAAAATTTGGTAGACTGTAGACAAGTTAGGGAGGCCCTGTCTGAAATAAACAGAACAAGCCACAGATCAGGATAGTAACAAGTGCTATCACAGGACATGGCCCTTTTAACAAACATTTGTTCACCATAGGTGTTACTGACAGCCCCCTGTGCAGGGCATGCATGGGAGAGGAAGAAACGGCGGCTCACGTGTTGCTGACATGTCCAGAAGTCGCTTCATACAGGGCTAAACATCTCGGCACGCCGGGATCGCTCCCCGAAGTTGCTTGCAACATCAAGGAACTGCTGAGCTTCTTCGGGGAGATATCATGGCTCGAATAAGCATATTATTCCTGCCCACGCGCAAAATACGCGCTTAGACGTGGAGTTGCGGAAAACTGCCCGTCGTAAACTAAACTAAAATAAAAATTGAGTTTTTGCCAAGAAAGGCAAATGCGGTTTGTGCATGAGGAATAAAAGTTCGGTTATGTATCGGTGTCCAGTCAGTGTGCCGTTTTTGATGAAGACGATTAAACAAATTTATTCCTGCCCACAACATAAAAGAGCCGGTAATTTAGGGCTCGGGGATGACTGGGTATATTGGCAGCGTGAAATCTCCTGACCGTCCATAAACTAATTGGCACACTTCTTCGAGGTTATTCTCAAAGATCACTTACAAAGATTTGCAATTTCTTAATGCTTGACTCGCCAAAAAATGTTGTTTAAAATTATCCCGTGGTTACATGGTTTTCTTCCAGATCCAGGCCTTCTCTTACCGAAATCGGTCTTTTGACGGCGCTGTCAGGTCCTTAGGACTGTCGAACGACTCACATTTAGCCCCTGAGCCACGAAGCATTGTCTGCAATCCTCCTCAAGCAGCAACTATAAAATTTCAAGGAAATGTGATACCGTTACCGTTACAGCCTATTAAAATTCACTGCTGATCACTTCCCCCATGGGTTGCCTCATAGAGGATATTTGATTTTGATTATTTAATATTAAGAATTGTTTTTGATTTTTAGTCATTATTAGGAAGACACAGCTGCCCATCTGATTTGTTTCCCTTTATCGCCTCTTACGACACTCATTGGATGATATGGGATAGTGAATATTTTTACACCACCACTGCACTGTAAAGTGTGATAATTCGATAAAAATGGACTAAAAGTTCTTTAAAATCTATATTAACTTTCGTGAGTTCGTGCCACAAATTCTAGTAAAAAGTTGTGTACTTTAAAAACCAGCCTTAGGCAATTTTTTTTATTTAGAATACCCTTTTTTAAACAGGCCAGTAACATGTTCAAATGACTAAATCTTTCATATTGTTTTATCTTCAGGTAGAAAAAAATCAAAACTGCCTTTTTTTTTTTTTTAAATGAGTTATATACACATATCTGAGCCCGTGCCCGTTCGTCGGGAAGATTTGTAATAATCGCCACCCCTGACAGGCGGATGGGCGATTGCAATACCAATGTCCCGCGTCTTTGACGCTGCTTTCCTTCACAGGTCTAAAGTAAGACCACAGCGTCCAAGTCCGCTGCTAAACATTGGCCTCTCCTAATGGATGCCACAAAGCACAGCTCAGCCAACTGAATCGACTTCCTGCATCTCTTACTAGGTCATCAATCAATCTAGCAGGAGGCTGCACTTTGCTCATCCGTGTGAGGCTGCCAATAGAGAACCTTTCTTTCCCATCAGTTGTCAGTTCTTCGATCTATATGTCCATCTCATTGCTACTTCAGCTTACTAATCCGTTAGGTTCTGTCGGTTACTCTGGTTCTACTGCGGATATCCTCATTTTTAAGTTCATCGCGCAAAGAAATTCCGATCATGCTATTATTCATAGTTCCCTGAGCGATGTTGAGCTTCCGCATCGCTGTGAAGTACACGAACTGGTTGTACAATCTTTCAAAAATTCTCTAGATTTCTTTTTTTTTTTCTTTTCTAAACAAATACTTTCCAGATTAATTTTTATTACACTTGTTTAATAAACCATGCTTCTTTCCTACACACATTACGAGTATAACGTTTTTTGTTATTTACCACCCAACCAATACTCATGAGTGTTTTATGAGAGATAAAAAAAAGACAAGTAATTTTATTTTTTTCACTCTTGTAAACGGATGGCACAACAGTTATATTACTATGTACAGTATTTAAACATTTCTTGTGCTCACACACACACTTGCGCCCGCGCGCATATACGCACACCTCGCTACAGCGCAGCGTACATTAAATATCGACAAAAATAAAAATTCTATTAAATTATGTAAGCTTTTATCTTTTCCAGATACAAATGCTCCGAAGAAATTGTAAGCATAGCTGCAATGTTGTCAGTCAATAGCTCTGTGTTTTATAGGCCCAAAGACAAAATAATACACGCTGATACGGCCAGAAAGAATTTTTTTCACAGGCACGGAGACCATTTAACATTAATGAATGTGTATAATCAGTGGGTTGGTTCCGATCATTCAGTACAGTGGTGTTATGAAAATTTTATACAATACAGATCTATGAAAAGAGCTCGCGATGTCCGCGAACAGCTCGTTGGTTTGATGGAAAGAGTGGAAATTGACATGGTGTCTAGTATATCAGATGACGCAAATATTAGAAAAGCGATTACTGCTGGTTACTTCTATCACATTGCAAAATTTTCTAAAGGCGGACACTACAAAACTGTTAAACATAATCAAGTAAGTACAAGATACTTTAAGTCAACTATGTTTTAGAGAGCACTGCTGGAGCTGTATGATCAGAATGAATGGATCGACTTGACTGGGGAAGGACAACGCTAGCACAGAGTGTCAACTTTAAATTGCTGTGTTTACTATGGTTAGGGACAATTTTACTGGTTATGAATTAAACCATTTAACCGCCATGCTTTAATTCGCGTGGTGTGCCCCCAGCTCCAGCGCCATCCACCTTTAGGTATAATTTCGGAGTGTTGTCATTACGATACTGTCGCTTAAATTATACACCTTGTGATTGAATCTCTAGTTGGACAACTATTTCGAAAGCTATTAATGTGGCGAAACAATTATTTCGAGGAACTTTGTTTAAAAAAACTTTTTCTGTTTTCTTCATAACTTTGACCCAGTCATCTCTTGTGTAGTAGTTGTATTTTCCACAAATCCCACATGGCAAATTATGAGGCGCCTACCTTTTTCCACCGGCACGTGTCATCTGTCCATGTCTGTGGCAGTGTGGTTCGCGTTTATCCATCTTTCATCAATTAATATAATGTTCCAATTGGTTATATTTTTAATTTCTTGTAAAAATGCTATTCTTTTCATTCATGTCACATTTGTGTCGAAAGTCAAATCCTATTCAAATATTTCTCAATTACTCGGTAACTTCGCCAATGTGGGATTCACAGAAATTATTAAAAAAATTGGCTTGTTTAATTCATATAATTTATGCAACTCTAAAAATAAAATTTTAAGTAAACAATTTTTAATAAATAATTTGAACGTTTTTACCGATTATTCGCATTAGCGTGTATTTGAATCATCCAAACACTACAGTAAGGTGCATAATGACATATCATGAAGCAATGTCAAGCACAAAAGTTGCTTTATTCATGTAACTCGTATTACGGTTATGGCGGTTAAAGCGTTTACGAGCTTAGTAGAGCTCAGGGATGAGACAATTATGTACTTGTCTATGAATCATTGCATCCATTTACCATAAGGTGTGCTTATTTCTCCCCTTTGTCTACAAAATGACATTAAATAAATTCCTTTTTTTACAGACTGTAATGATACATCCCAACAGTGCTTTATTTGAGGATTTACCTCGATGGGTTATATACCATGAACTTGTGTTCACATCGAAAGAGTTTATGAGGCAAGTTACTGAAATAGAAAGTAAATGGCTATTGGAAGTAGCACCTCATTATTACAAGTCAAACGAGTTAGAGGATTCTACTAATAAGAAAATGCCTAAAACTGTAGGAAAATCGACAGGAAATCAATAAAACGATACAATAGTAATATTACTGTTTTAATTTGTGCATTAACATTATTAACTAATGCATTTTAAATTTGCCTAATTTTATTACATTGTTTTAATACTGAATTAATTATTAAAAATCTGATACTCTCCCTTTTCTTTCCCAATCACCATATCGAGTTGGTTCTGGACCTCTAGGTCCACCTACTTCTCCTGTATGGGGATTAGTATCATTAGGCCATGCCGGTAAAGCATTTTCCTCTTGTGGGGAATGTGTTAATGGTTGTTCACCAAGATCCTGAATTGGAGTGGTTTCTCTCAGTTTCTTACGAAATTCGGCCATACGCCTAGACTCTCTTTTTTCAGATGCTGCATCAATTCCTGCCTTAGAATCTTGTGAGTGTTTGCAAGTCTGAATAAAGCTAGTGAAGTTTCCTAAAACAGAAATTTAAATTAATAATGCATAATATGTCACAAAATACGGATCGGTTTGCTCTTAATATAAACTGCCAATTTTATGACTTAAGTTCCATTTGTTCTTTAAAAAAAACTATTAGACATATTATTAAAAAACGACACAGACATGTTGTGGTGCACACTATTGTGCGGACAGTAATAGTGCTAGCCACGTCGTCAACTTAGTACACTTAGAATAAAATAAAAATAGAATAATAAGTTAGTATTGAAAGTGAAATTTATGCTTTTACCACTGGTTCGGAAAAAACCTCTGTTCTGGTAAAAACTAGTACTTTAACAACCCAGCTGTAAATGCTGTTTTTTTAATTTGTTTTCTATAGGAGAAGTAGGCAAACGAGCATGAGGCTCACGTGATGATAAGTGGCTACCGCCGGCCATAAACTATTGCAAAACTAGAGGAATTGCAGATGCATTGCCGGGCTTTTAGAAAGGAGTAAGCTCTTTTCTTGAAGTTCCCTAAGTCGTATCGGTCCGGAAAAATCGCCAATGGTAAACGATTCTACAAACAGGTTGTACGAAGAAAAAAACTAGTAATACACACAGTGGTGGACCGCTAAGCATCCAGATGGTGTGGATGGTATCGTGTTTTGTCGCGATGTGCGTTCGTGAAATTTGGCGGCTATGATTAATCCGAACAATTCCTCAGAGCATTCTCTGTGCTAGATGCGATAGAAAATGCAAAGGGATGCAATATCCTTTCGCAGCGCCAACAATCGAGCTGATCAGAAAAAACTCGGTCGTCGACGATTCGAACCGTTCTGCACTGGATGCGATCAAGTACAAGGAACAGGAACTGTGGTGCCCCGACCCATAGATGAGAACAGTATTCCATGTGAGGCCGAACTTGCGCCTTGTATAGTTGCAACCGGTGTGCCGCTCTGCTGGGCACGCCAAGCTTGTAAGCTTTTTCGAAGCCAATATAACCTTCCCTTCCAAGTGACCACGAAACTGGCACATCATTCGATATGTCGACGCCTGTGTCTTCTGAGGGTTAAATTGAACTAAATTTAGTCGTCCCCTATCCGAGACTTTGTTAAGCAAGGACTCGACTTCAGATACAAGTTTGTCCCGTTACTCGGAGACGTTTTCCCTAGAAATATTGGCACAGCCAGTGTAAAAAGCTTCACCTGTGCTGTTTTCGGCATAGCAATGAACGCTACTGGTTTGCAACATATAATAATAATAATAGTAATAGTCTTTATTTGCATAAAACATGGTAATTATACAGATGTTTCAGAGTTTTATTATGCCCACATGTTTTGCTATTTTAATATAATATAGCATGCAAATTACATTTAAATCAAGATAACCTATATAGTATTAAAAATTAACAAATTAAACATGTTTATTTAAATTATAATTATGCTTTACAATGTCAAAATCTAGTTTAAAATGTCAGAAATTCATTAATGTCATAAATATTTTTGTCAATTAATCAATGGTACAATCTTTTTTTTAAATAAGTTCATATTATGTAGTGTTTTAATTTCATCAGGTATTTTTTGTATATATGTACACACATTGATAAAGAGCATTTAATATATTTAGCTGACTTCGGAACTTAGCTTAGAACTAATCTATTTGGATTTCTTTTAAGCCTAGGATTAATATTTGACTTTTTAAATAAATATGTATGCTGTTTTACAAATTTACCTATCTCAAAAATATATAACGAGGGCATAGTTAGTAAAGACAGATTTTTGAATATTGGCTTACAGGATTCTCTAGTTGGGATACCACATATTGTCCTTATACACTTCTTTTGTGCGATAAATGCCCTACGCCAATCTATGCTATTACCCCACATTGCCAGATAGCATAATAGGGCTGTTTTTTTATTAGTTACATTTTTTATGGTACGTAGTGCATACACAAAACGATTAACTCTTTGACATAGGTCATCTATATGTATTTTCCAGTCTAAATTTCGATCTATAATTACACCAAGAAATTTAATTTGTTCTATTTCCTTAATTTTATTGATATTTAGACTAGAATTAGTTTTAATTTTATTAAAATGTATGTAATTTGATTTATCTAGGTTAATTTTTATATTGTTTGTATGCAGCCAATTAGTTATATTATCGATTGTGTCATTTATTTCCTTTTCATGATTATGTAATGAATTACTGTTTATTTTTTGAGATGTTACAACTACGGAAATATCGTCCGCATACAATATACATTTGTGATTTGTCGCCAGAGTTATATCATTTATAATTGATATGCAAAAGAAACAGCGTAGGTAAGTATCAGCACACAGCCTTGTGGAACACCAACATTGATAGGCTTGTAATCGAAGCATGAACCGTCTACTTTGACCTTGATGTTGCTCGAGTCAGCAAGGAAACTGGTGATCCAATTGCACAATTTATTAGAAAGGAAGCTTTGAAAATAGCGCTTTGTACCAAACACGATTGAAGGCATTCGTTATGTCCAAACTAACAGCCAATGTCTCCCTTTCCTTGGATTCTACTGCTCCGCTCTGAGTCAGGTAGAAGATTACCAGCTATCAGCTGGCAAAATTTGGTGTCAACTGGAACCAACTACTGATACCGACGAAAACTGTATAGTCACTAAGCAGCTGGTAATCCTCAAGATACCTCATGATCTGGCATTTTATAATGGATTACAGTAAAGAAGTTTTAAAAAAAAATCCTAGAATAGTATATAAAAATATTAAATATTCATTAGGTTCTTTTTTTAATTCAGCCAATTAAAACATTAATAATTACAGCCTATTTTATTTATTAAAGGCTAGTAACCAAATTCCCGGTTCTTTAAAATAGCTTAGGTTCCTAACTTGCAATCTTTAATTACATTTCATTTTATAATATAAATGTGAAGAAGTCTCCAAAACAATAGGTGTGATCTGAAACTTTTTTTCCCCTCTAATTCTGCAAATTCAACAGTGGTAGAGCCACGCGGCAGCTTTTGCTGCTGCATGAATGAGCCAATCTGCAATGGCATAATGCAATCCAATCAAATCCAAAAACAAAGCCAAAGTCAAACATAAGGGCAATCAAAAAAGTCCAAAAACACAAAAGAAGACGTCGAAAAAAACAGAGAAAACTTAGCACTAAGCAGAAGAGAGAACATTCGCATGACCACTAGAGAAACGGAATGATGATTGACATTTCACATCATAGACAATATATTATATTTGACATTGACCGTTGCCCACAAAATAGCCATCAACACTGTACCGTTTCACACTTTTTACACCAGTTTTTGATATCTAATCTCGTTCGTATGTTATACAGAACTTTTAGTAAAATTTATTTTTATCTAATTAACTCAAAACGCATTTCCAACATCTAAAAACAGCGTAATAGGTTCAAGCTTAACACTATCGAGCCTCCTAGACTAAAAACATTTTATCATTATTAATTATCAAAATTAAGTAAGATGTCTATAGCCAACCCCTCAAGTGGATGTTTGCAGCCTTCTAAGCCCTCAAATATTTTATTTTTCCTTACAATGTGTTCACAAAAGAGCACATAGCAGTTTTATTTGTGCATGGAGGTTTCAAATTATGCTTTACATACAATAGAATTTAGGCAGTGGTGGACGGTAACATCTTTTGTGCATAATTTTTGAACATGGATTGTACGAAACCTTAATATGTTAAGTACTTTGTAATAATGGCCTTTATAAATTATATGATCAGATTGACCTTTTCTTCATACTTCATTTAGATTTAGGACTGGCAAAAAAATTTATAACAATAAATATAGATAAGGGAGAAGAGATGTGCCATATGTGTTAATACAATAAGTAATTGTTTTACTACTAATTGATTGAATTAAGAGGTCACTCACGGTGACAACTGTCACATTAGTTAATCATAATATTCTGGTCCACAAAACTAGGTATACAATTATTAAATTATATGTATGCTGGAAAGAAGGCATTTGATCTTAACCCTCAGGGGTGACAATGCATCTGTATTTTGATTCTTTATTTAGGATGGATGTAGATGTCTACGGGTAACAGCACTCACATACCATTATATCATCAGACTGTGTGCTCATTTGTCACCCTTGTTCTATTTAAAAAAGTCACTATGACTGATAAAAACATTTTTATTGGTAATGAATGTTTTAATTTAAAAATAATTGGGTACTTTGTTTAACATGTGTAGGATCTTTCCAAATGTCATTGAATGAAATACTTTATTTTATGTACTGCTTCACCTATAAAATCCAATTTACACTTGGAGGTTTAAAAATGGATTGTTTGTTATCAATAATGTTAGTTAATGGTCAGTGAAATGCAGAAAGTTTAAAGATAAACTTACCTCTCACTAGACTTCTTTTGAAAATAGTAACACATGTTTCAAGCAACATGAATACTACAAAAATTATGTGTGAACTTCCCAAATAAATAGTTCGCAGGTTTGTAAAATAAATACTTGCCTTGAAAATCAAAAGTATGAATTTACTGTGATAAAGTTATTTCAGTCTGTGTGATAAAATAAACAATAGCAATAAACCTTCAGTGTTGCCAACTCTACATGTCAAAAAGTCGTTAACGTACGCTTGAAAAGTCGCCAGATGTCGCTAGTTATGAACAAATATTAGAAGTCGCTAAACAATCCCAGTAGACTGAGCGCTAGGGATGGGAACCAAGCGCAATTCTTTCATGTATCTCTAATTCAAGCATAAGAATTTATGGCAGCGTTCTGAAATTGGATTACTCTCACAAGAGTGTCTCATTCAAAGTTTCAAAGGCTACAAGTGAGAAAAAGACAGAGTCCTACGAAGCTTTAAGAGCCACAGAGGGTAGCAGTAGGCATGTCGATCTTAAATCGAAAAATCGATTCTTTGGCGTAAAATAATCGATCTTTTAGATCGATTCCGGGCACCGCATCGATTCACTGAATCGATCCAAAAACCTCTCGAATCGGACTGATTCATCTGATTCAAGAACTAGCTAGAGGTTTATCGTAAGGAAATAACCAGTATAGTGTTCGTGTAGCATTCACTTCAATTTGATAAATAGTTTGAACTTTTGTTAAAGTATTGTTGTTGTTTCTAGCCTAAAATTTCAAATAAAAGTGATACATGGAATCACTTTGTAAAAAAAAGGATCGAGTGGCTTATGTGCGAACCACTACTAACAAGCGTTTCAAGCTTACCAGAAGTGGTTAAAAGGAATATTAATAATGTTAATTAATAAGATTACTAATATTTTATTTAAAAAAATATTAAAGTTCAATTAAAGAAAAAATCGCAAATTCTTGAAATTTCATGTTTGAAAATGTCGCGATTAATCGAAAATCGATCTTTTAATCCTCGATTTAATCGATAATCGATTCTAGTGTTTTCGATTCAAATCGATTCAGAGATCGATTTTTTTAAGAGTGAATCGACATGTCTAGGTAGCAGCATCAACATCATCGAAACCAGAGAGTACCAGAGAGTTGTCAGAATAATATTCGATTTCGGAACGTAGTTTCGAATATAGAGAAGAAAGATTTCTAGGCCTCGGAACCTTGCCGTATTTTATGAATATAATTAAAATATTTTTTTTTATTTAATCTCTAAAAGTCATTAGAATAGTCGCTAGATTTTTTTGTCGTTAGGCAAATAATTTAAGCCGCCGTAGAAAACGAAATTTCGCTAGATCTAGCGATAAAGTAGTTAAATTGGCAGCACTGTAAACCATAGATAAATTAATATGTAGCAGTTATTGTATTATATCCATGAAGGTTAAAGAACAGGAGAACATTCGCCCTAGAAAATAGTGTCCCAGAAATATGTACACCATAAGTGAGGCGCTGCGATCGCTAAGGTTGGTCAATAAAAGTCATTTTCAGTCTATTTTCCGATCAAATGCTAAACCACTTGCACATCCACGCAAAATAAAATATTTCTCTATTTTTTAATGTTTCTTTTTGTCAAAAATTACAAAATTACGGAGCATGAAATTTTCTCACCAATGCCGGAGAAAATTTGTACATTATTCAACTAACTTCATCTACTTGTACTCATAAACAGCGAACTTTGCAGTCACTACTCACTGACGTCAGCGCCGCTATAAATTCTACAATTTTCAAGGACAGGCGGGTTATACTTTAGTACGTAGTGATCGTTCTCCTGTACTTCACGTAGACAGAGAAACCTATAGACTAATGATTAGCGTGGCTTCGAGTGAGAAAGGACGATAACGTAGTTTTAGGTTATACAATAATCTTTATGACTTTTAAACATATTTTGATAAAATTTTTAACTATTCTAAGAACTGAACTGAACAAGATTCACCAATCCTAAGCTCACAAAACACTTTTTTCACACTTAAACCAACTTGTAAACTCCTTAGATCGCTACGAACTGTCAAAGTTGTTTAGCAAACTACACTTTGCAATAATAATATGAATCACATAGATTTATGCATGATTGTTTGTCCCTTTCTCCGTGCTGGTTTTTTTGTTTAGCAAACTACACTGTCACAGGAGCCCGGAGGCGCGGAGGCACTGCTCATACCGCAGCGCCGGAGCACAACTTCCCGGCTTCTTACCCCCCTAGTCTCCAAAATTAACGAAATGTACTCGATACCAAGTAGTATTGATACTTTTAGAAACTTTCATATTACATTAGAAACTTTACATTACTTTATTTTACATTAGAAACTTTCATACGAAGCTTGTTTTGTTTAAATGACATTAATCAATAAAATTTTATTAATAATAAATGTGTCCTATAATTTACTCCCGAAGCCAGAATATAAGAAATGGCAGCTATTTTGAACCACATCATCATCATCCATTCTCACCCTCCTATCCTAATCGCAATTGATTTGAGTTTAACAGCATGTCTCCTCCTCCACATCGCATGCCTATACCTATCGATGATAATCGGTAATAGCAGTGTCCCTTTTAAAGCTTTCTTTACGTACTAATTTCTAATTTTATGACTAGTTGTGGCGTAAATTTTTCCTCACAATTGTAACCCTAACAATGTTATGACGTATTTTTTTTTGTCTCTTTATCTCTTTTTGCCACTGACTTAGAAGTATATGAACTAGACATACCTACATAATTAGCGTGACTACCTACAAAAAATCTGGCGCACAAAATAGCCGCCTTTTATGGGGTTGTAACTAAGCAATATGCGCAGCTTACTTTTAATAAAACAAAATGCATGCATATACATTTCTTTTTCGCTGCAGCATTTAGGCAATTTTACTCAATGTAAAATTGCATTAATGCTGCAGCGAAAAAGACTACATTGAATGAGATAGCTGTTGTGGACCACTGTTTTCAGTGCCTACATAAAAACAATAAAATAAATTGTAAATGTAAAAAAATGAATTTGTCAATAAATTTAAGTATTTAGGACTGGTTATTGATAAAAACTGTAGGGGTAACTGGGTAGGGTACTGTAGAGCTAAGTGGACTGTATTTATGTTTCATTGGGGGGAGAAGTTGAACTACTGTAAAGAAAGCTAATAACTTTGACATCTGTCTGAGTAATAACTTAATCGATGCAGATGGCTATTTTAAACTAAAAGGGGTTGAGACGAAATTAAAAAGCTTTGAAATAATCACTATATTGAACACTATTTACAATTAATTTGCGGCAGTTAATACTAAAATACTATTTGAACCTAATAGGAATCTTAAAGGCTTCTTTCTTGCTTGTTCTCCTTGCTTGTTATGTCTTGAGCCCTAATACTATGCGAGAGAAAAGGTGAACCTCTCGCTTCGAATATCATAGAAGTCATTACGTACTTTTTCGGGGAACTACTACGATCGTTACCTCGCCATAAAAATAATTGCGCGGGTTGGTCACGGCGGACAATCTTAACACGCAAAAACATCTCTCTAATATCCGCTGACACCACTATCTCGTTTCACAAAACCGAAATAATATACCCGGCAAATTACGTAACAAGTTGGGGCCGTCCAAAAAATAATCGTTAAAGCACTTGCCTGATGCGCGAGCTGCTGCATCGAACACTAGAGTCAGCTTTCCCGGCTTGTTCGGATTCCGTACAGCGAAGTGCGGCAGGTACCAGCTCTTCGAATCCTCTCGTTCTGATCCGTCAGCTTCTTTAGCATAGCCTTTCTCCAGGAAGTCGTTCACTTGCTTCGTGTACGATTCGTTAAACTCCGGCGACTGATCCATCTTCCTCTCGATGGTTCGGAGTCTTCGTACTGCCCATATCATAACTCGGTGGCAGCTTGACATCGTCGTCCCTCCATGGCAATCCGACTTGGTAGTGCTCGCTGACCATCTTGATGGTGCGCTGAAATATATCGACAACCGGCTCATCATCCCGTTGTGGTCTGCTTTTGAGCGAAATACCTATCGAGTCGATTTCATATTACTTCTTAAGGAGGTCGGTCAACTCCTCGCCTGGACTGACATATGTCTTGACGTCTTCTTCATGCCGCGTATTAAAATATAACACGGGGCGTGGTTCCCTGTACAACCTAACCCAACAACGTCCTAGCGGCAATGGGCTGCTTAAGACGTCCTATTCGTAAGTCTCGCGATATGCCAATTACCCGAACTAATAAGCACTTTTGGTTTAGCGTTATTATAACAAACTGCGTTCGGTAAGCTACGTAAATGTTTCAACCGTAGACATTCCTTACCGACGGATTGCGAACCTACGTTTAAGTTACTAATCGTACAAGCGCTCATCACATACGACTCGTTTCTCGTTTTACCGTGTATACCTATTTTCACTACGCAACTATTAGCCTCTCGTTGGCTATCCGATAGACCTTGTATAGTCAGTGGCCTCGTCGGCCCTTCCGTACTTAATTCACAAGCTAACTCACTATCAATTAACGATACCGTAGTCTCTTCGTCAAGGAGTGCATAGGTTTCGATCTCTTTATCTTGCGGTCCGCGCACTATTATAGGACACACTTTTAACAACACTGTTTTATCGTTAGCCGTATTAGACGCGACGAGCACTGTTTCATCCGGGGCGGCAGATGCTTCCGGGCTTGGGTCTTCTTTACGTTAAGCAACGTGTAATGAGGGGCGGTGCAGCCATCGATGCCGCATGTCTTATATTTGCACTTAAGACGCCGATGCTTACTACTTAAACACTTAAAACACACTCCCTCTTCCTTCACACATTTCCACCGGTTATTACTATTCATCTGCCCTAACTTTTTGCACTTCACTATAACATGTTCACCACCACAACACAGACACTTTTTATCACTTTCACTGTCACTGTTTGCACGAGCGGTGAACGACTTCACGTCGCGGGGCCTATCCTCTCGCGCGGCGTGTTACTATTATTTTTCTCGACGGCAATGTTTCTTTTCTTGCGGGCACTTCCCTAACTGGCGAGACGGACGTATAAGCGTGACTTAATACCC